GGTTGGTCTTCAACAGCAGATCTCTCCTCTCTGTGTCTGAGGGCTGATCCCTGCTCTGGAAAACACAGGGCTCTCCCAGGAACTCATCTGAATTCTAGCTGATTTGCATAAAGCACAGGGATCCCCAGTAAAGGGATAAGTCAGTCTTAGCAGGAAGCCAGGCAGTCTGAGCCTCAGGAAGCAATATCAGGGAAGTGTCCACAATGGCCTGGATTCCCCTTCACTGCACAGGTTTTGCCCCAGGGATACTGCCCACCTACATAGTCCAGGTTTCTGGGGTGAGCCTATCCCTGATTCTGAGCTCTGCAGGCCCTGTCTGTGGATGCTCAGTATTCTGACACAGGACAGGGGGTTAAATGACTTCAGTTGAAGTACTCACACTGTGCTCACTTGTCTGTTTAAGCCTGAAGGGCAGTAACTGTCAACAATATGTACAGGCTTCTTCAAGTTCAGAGGCACCATTTTTCTATTAGGCTCCTAGGCCACTGGAACTAAAAATGAAATGGGAAAGAAGAAGGCCCAAAAGTCCCTAGAGAGAGAACAGACTAGGCAGACAGAAGAATTTCTAGAAGCTTCCTTTATCATTATTCCTGCTTCTTTTTTTCTCCTGGAAGGCTTCATAGCCTCCTAAGAGTTGACTCAGCTACCTATAGTGTCAGTGAACTCCAGGTAGACAGCTAGAACCATATGCTCTTAAGGTTTATTAGGGAATGAAAAGGCACATTGCTACCAACAAACACCAGGCTGGCCCCTGTATTATTCATCTATTATGATAGCACATGGCCCACAAATGTCTCTGGCCAATTACTTGGCTCCAATTTAGAAATCAGGGTCGATATGACCATCAGTTGAGGCTAGGCCGGGGACAAGAGTGACTATTTCTGTGCTGTATCACATGGCAGTGAGTGCTACTCACACTGGCTCACAATACAATAACATAGATAGATTGACAGAAGAGACAGGCCCTTACACACCCAGGCCTGAGTCTCACTCATTCTTTGAACAATGATCATGACTTTCGTCTCCACTCTATCAGCTGGTTTCTCACTATGAGTAAGATACAGAAGAGCATAGCTGACTATTGGAAATGTGGTTTTCCCAAGGAATTATTTGGATCTTAAATCCAGTCACTTCCATAAAGTGCCTTGCAGAAAGAAGTTCACAGAATCCAGGATGGAAAAAGACTCCAGATAGCCTGATTAGATACCACCACTCTCTTCCCTCCATTTCACTGTGGAGTGTATCAGAAGGGAGACCTGGTTTCTGACCTTCCTCTCAGAACTTGGCATTGGGTTAAGACAAAAATTATGACATCAACAGTATGAAGTCTTCAGAATGAGAAGGGCTGATGTGCCCAAAAACCTCTTGGTATTTTATTACATGATCACTCAAAATCCCATGTCATTAGCCAGTACACACAAGGCTCTCATTGTGTGATCAAAACAACATCCACCTCATTCCCATAACCAAGGAGATATGCTCATGAGCCCCCCAAGTCTGAAAATAATTAGACCTTGTGTAGAAAAAAAAACAGGCACCTCCTTGTCATTGAAGACATAAATTCTGGATTTGAAACGCAGTGTGGTGTACAATTAGTAGTTTATATGCTACCAAATTGTGAAAATGTAACTTTTATTCAAAGATAAGTCCTTGAAAGGGATCAGAATCAACAACAGGTGTATGATCATGGGATTTGCAAAGCCATAATGACATTTGTTGTCTATAAAAAAGAGTTTTCTGAAACCCTTAATAATATTATATCCAGGTTGAATTCTTTATACTGCCTTGGAAAAATGGTTTTTAGAAAGTTTACCCTCAGATTATTCAGATCACAAAGATATGCTATTGCAGACATTTTTAAAAAAGAAAAATAAAATTTCTACATACACCTTCCAGACTTGTACATCAACTGATGTTTAATTTGTGGAAGTGCTGGGCCACACAGGGAAACACAAATTACATACTATTTCTGGCACAAACTACCTTTGACAGTTAGATTTTTCTTTTATGCTAACAGACCTGAGCTATCAATTGATGATATTTTTTTATATAAATCCATAGGCCTAAGTGATAATTTAAGGAAATGACTGGGTTGAATATAAATAAAATGACAAATTTAATTCCTTCTAATCTCCATATTTGGTCTTTGGGAATGGTGCAAGGAGTTGAACACCCATCCATAATTTGTCCAGGACCAAGTGAGGGGGTAGCAACGACCCCTACAGGCAACTGGGTTAACCACAGGAAGAAATCCTGTACTTCAGGGTCCAAATTTTTGATTCAAGATTTTTCCACAACTTTGCCCAGCATAGGATGACCCTTGTACATGGGCCGGGGGCGGGGGGCGGGGGAAGTCATTTATTGGGACTACAGAAGCTTCTGTTCTTCTCACCTTCTTTCAGAGTCCCTTAGGGATTGACACTGCCTTTCTCAGCCCCATTTCTTTTTTCCCTATGAAATACATATTCCATATCCCAGGTCAGAGAATCTGTGGCTTATCAAGGAAACCATTGCTGTGTCAGTCGCCAGACAGTAAAAGACATTCAACAACTGTCCCAGGATAGGAGGCACAGGTTGTAGCCTAAGTTACTGTCTGGCTGCATGGTGGGTACAGGGTAGAGGAGAGAAACCAGCAAGCACCCTCTGGGTATATTGAGTCCCAAGTAAGCAATACAATGACTGGGGAACCACTGTGTCTCATCTCTCCCTGTATTTGAGGTTCCTAATTTGCTACAAAGATGTCATTGAACTGAGTTCATTACCTGGAAATTTCCCCATCAACGGCTTTGAATGCATTTGTCCTGCCATCAAAATCCTCCTTAGGAGACAATAGTGTCTTGGACTGTATGAGTTGCAGTACTGGAACCCTCACATTGCCACTTTCCTTCTCCCATCATCACACACCCAGACTCTTCCTCCACTTCATGGACTCTGCTGTACCCGCACATGTGCTGTGATTTCTCACCAATCCTAAGGGCAGCTCCACCTACCCATCTGCAGGGAGAGTCCGAGCTGCCAGTTATATCTCACCCTGCCTGTATGTAATCACTGTATTAGTTTTCTGAAAATCATTAACCATTCATGATTCTGTAACTAACAATATTTTAATTAATTGATTTATTTGTGCTATTATTTTCCCAAGTTGGTTGTGGATTTTTTAAAAATAAGAACATATGCATGAATATAGACTCATGAGCACATAGAGGCTAATTTTTCTCTTCCAAAAAACAAATACTTACCTTATACAAAAATGAACAAAGAAACAAATCCGAGGCATAATATTTGCTGAATTCCAGTACTCATCAAATCATTGTGGGACCTGGGCCATTTTCAGCTTCTGTTCCACCATTTTTACCATCTTACCTTTGCATTTTTGTTGTTAACTTCAAACTCCAGGATGTCTCTTGCAACTCAAGGCATCACACCTGTATTCAAGAGGCAAAATAATGAAAAGAACAATATATTTCTCTTCCTCACAAGTTCAGACTTGCACTAACAAGGAACTCAGGTCAACTTAGTGTTCCATTCCATGGTTGTATGTTGGACTACATGGTCAATCTTGGCTGCTTGGAACTTTAAAAATGTGTCTGGCTTTCAAAAAAGAGAGGGGATAAAGCACAGGCTCTGGTGGGTGGGACAGTCTTCACACAGATGTGTTCAAAACACAGGCCCAACAGAAGATGGAAGCTCCTAGAGCAAAGGATGTATCACATTCTTACTGAATTCCCAGTGTGGAACCTGGTAGAGACCACAACGGGTCTAAATAAGCATTGATGGTGAATGGGCTCCTCTTTGTGTCTGTTGTTCTCACTACTAATTCATGTTGACTCTGTACCTTCAGCTGACCTGTTCCTCTGTGTCACCCAGAATCATGTCCTGGAACGAATTCCATGACCACTCATCACCCCAGAGAAATATGTAGAGATAACTCAGGTGGGTTCCAATCCTCCTTTTTCAAATGCTTTTGCTTTTATTTTCCTGTGTAATCTGAGCTGCTTCTTTCTAGTCCTGATAGTGGTCATGTCTGTTTGATGAAGTTGAAATTCCTCCCTGGGCCAAAAGTTAAGGAATTCTGGGCCCAAGAGGCCCAGAATCTGCCCCTGGACCAAGGATGCTTTGAAAATGCAGAACCCAATGTGGATTGGACATGAGGGGGCAGCAGAGAACCACCTGACAAAGCCCCCTAGGTATGGGCTGGGATTGGACTTCAGGATTCTAACATCCAGGAGGGTTAGTGACCACAACATGAGATTCAGAAGAAAAGGTGTCATTTTCCTACAACATTGTCTTAGAATCAAGTGCAACATTTTTGGTCTACAATTATCTCTAGGTCTTCTAAAATTTCCATAATTGTTAGATGTTTGCACAAAACAAATCTTACTGCTTTTTCTGACACCTCCTTCCCATGCCCAGCTCATCTCATTGAGCTATACTTGGACCTGTCACACATTTCCAAAACAGCAGATCCTACTCTGGCAGGAGGGTTAGTGTCCACAACATAAACCTGAAGGAAATGCTGGAATTTTCTATTGTATTGTCATTAATACTGATGTACATATTCTTCGATGTCCATGTCTCACCAATATGACCATTGTAGAATATCCCTGTTCATATGGTAGGGGTTCAGAATTCCTCAGGCCACCATTCATGCTGAAGCTCTGTAACTGTCAGCATTGCAGCATATTTGTCAAACCTGCCCAGAGCATGCTAGAGATGTGAGTCAGAGCACCAAAGATCTACATGAGGCCTTCACACCAGGGACAGAGAGATACAGGACCACATTGTACTTTTAAGATAGAAGGTACACTCTAGGAGGAATTTGATTGACCCACACAGTACAGCATCTGTATCTGGGATATGACCCCATAGCTAGCAAAACCTCCTACTGTCAACCATAGAGTTGGTTCTGTTTACAAAGAACCATCTTTAGCCTTGACAAATGCTGATTTGCATAAGAGGCAGCTGTCCCCAACAAGGGAATAAGAGAGGCCAGGGGGAACACAGCCCTGCCTGGGACTCAGGAGGCAGCTACAGGACATTATGACCTGCACAGCCTTTCTCCTCAGCCTCCTGGCTCATTGCACAGGTAGTGCCCTAAGGCCTCAAAATACGATCCAGCCCAAAGCTCAATTATAATTAACCTGGCCTTAATTCTGAGCTTAGCAGGGCTTTATCTGTGGTGGGCAGGTTGCTAAGAACAGGCTGTGGGATGACTATGGGCAGAAATTCCCACACAGTGCTCCCTGGCTTGTCTGAGCCTGAGGAGGGAAGGGGTTGGGGTTGTTCATGGGTTCAAATCTCTGTTCCTCAGTCAGGCTCATGAGCCCCTATGGTGCCATGCTGGTGGCAGGTTTCTGTCTCACTTCCATGTCTGCCTGTGTCACTGTGGTTTTGGTGCCAGAGAAAGCCCTTGGTCCCACAGAAGCTCTTCTCAAAGCTCTTCTAGGCTGGGAGGGGGGGGAAGACATCCCATAGGAAGAGTCTGTAACCAATTGTTCCCCCCTTTCCTTTTATTTCCTTATAGGTTCTGTAGCCTCTTATGTGCTGACTCAGCCATTGTCAGTATCAGTGACCCCAAGACAGACTGCCACAATCACTTGTGAAGGCAACAACATTGGCAGCTATCTTGTGCACTGGTACCAGCAGAAGCCAGCACAGGCCCCTCTGCTGGTCATCTATGTATACAGCAAGCAGCCCTCTGGGATTCCTGACCAATTCTCTGGCTCCAACTCTGGGAACACAGCCACCCTGACCATCAGTGGGGCCCAGGCTGGAGACGAGGCTGACTATTACTGTCAGGTGGAGGATAGCAATGCTGCTCACAGTGACACAGGCAGACAAGGAAGTGAGACAAAAACCTGCCACCAGCATGGCACCCAAGGCCCTTTCCTACCCTGGTCACCCTGTCAGCAAAGAGCCTGCAGCATGGAGTGGGGAAAGACTCTACTTCTACTCTTTCCCTAGATTCCTGAGATTAGAGGGGAAAACTCCTGTAGCTCTCCAGGATCAGTTGATTCCATTGGAATAGGAGCACGTCATTCTTATTGACTTTAACTGCCAACTCCCAAAGACCCAGTGAGTCCTCATTCAAACAAAATGGAGTCTTAGCATTAAGGAGAATTTCACTGTGGCAGAGTCTTATTTATGGTTAAGGAGGAGAAGAACAGGGAATAGTTCCAGATTTGGAGGATGTGCCCTGGAGAGGTGTAGGGCAGGTCTGCCAAGGAAGATTTTGAGGAGTATTCATGTAGCAAGCACTGTACTGGGTAGAGTTGATACACACTAGGCATGGGGGTTTTGCTGTGGATGGTGATTATATTAAACTCTATTTGATAATCTCACTATTTTCCCAGGTCAGATCCATTTCTTTAGTGAACCCAGTTGTTTGCCTGGTAAATCAGTTTTCAGGAATGTCCCATAGCAAAAAATGACAGTTTATTCCCTCATCTTCCTGAGCACAAGTGTCTTGGGTTCAACAGTGAAACTGGCACTGGTGACCTAAGTCCTCAGCCCCTACAAAAACTCACTGCATGATGAGAGTGACCAGTTGAGAGGAGAGCATCTGACATTCCAAGAGAAAAACAGACATGTATGTCTCTACTTACAGGGTAGAGAAGTGCTTTGCAACCATCCCAGTTTCAGGGGACTCTCCAGTGGGTCAGGAATGAACATGTGACACTCCTCCAATGGTGTCCTTGGAAGGGTTCCAGTTGGAGGAAATGTCCTTCCCAGGTCCATGGCTTCCTGGCTGCTCTGAGGTCTAGCATGGAGGGAAACCTGGCCATCCCTGTTCCAGTTCCTTCTCAGCAGTGTCTTCAGGCCCCTCCTTTCTTCTGCAGAATCCCCTCGCATCATGCCTGCCTTTCATCCATAATCTCCCTTCCCTCTCTCTCCTGCTCCAAGACCTCTGCAAGACCAGGGTCTGTGCTCTACTCCATGTCAGGCCATGCAGAGGTCAGATCCAGAGAAGTAGCCAGAAGCTTCTCTCTTCATCAGCTTCAGGGAAACCATTAGTGCACAAAAGCAAACACCTCTAAGGAGATCAGCCTCCTCTACAACTGACCTGAGTTCCCTGAACCAACCCACTGGCTCTAGAAACATCCCAGTAAACCTTCCAGGAAGTCACCAAACCATTTTAGGATCTGATAAAACCTGAGGTATCTTGGATGCTCCTTCTGTCCAGATCTCATCCCAAGTCCACAAGACTAAAGGTCCTTTATCATTCAGTGGGTATTGAACCCTGAATTCTCTTAATTACTTATATAAATTTCAAAACTGAGTGTATCAAAGAAAATACAACACCCATTTCTTCATTAAAAAATGAGTTTATTCCTTCATTTATCTAATCCATATATGCCTATACAGAAAGTCAAAATTTCACAAAAATAGACACACTAATTTAAAATGCAGGGAGCATTTCAAATGAAGAACATGATATTTGAGGTTCCTTTTCTCAGTATTCCTTATAGAAACACTTTTTCTTCTTATTATCATAAAAGGTCAGGCCCTCTGCAGGGCCATTGTAGCCCTATAGTCCAGAGTGTATCTCAGTATCTCCCTGGTTTGGTGCTGGGGTCATGGGATCCTTACAGACAACTATGAAGTTGCAGCGAGTAGGGGAGGGACCTCTTCCTTTAACTGAGGGGACCGAATGCTGCTGGAAAGAGGGACTTAAGGAGCCACCCACAACAACCCTTTTGCCCCTAGGCTGGGCCCCTCTAAACGTCCCTGGTACCATCTAGAACTGCGTCAACTCCAGTACTACTCACTGACCTCTGAGTTTCAACATTCTGTTTTGAGATCAAGATCCCTGCCCAGCATGAGCTCAGGAGGCAGAGCTTTAAGGCATCTCTGGCATGGCCTGGAATCCTATGCTTCTTCCTCTACACAGGTGATCAACCAAGACCCTCTCCCAAGGTTCATCTTCACAGGACCCAGAGCCTGGCCTTGAACCTAACCTGAAAGTAGAGGAGCTTGTGGGGGTGGACCTCTATGAGTTAACTTCTGTCTCCTGAAATGACATGACTTGGGGTTTTATGAATATCAGATTTCTTATGAAAACCTGTAGAGGTGGCCATGAGAACCATGTCAGCCACCTATTCAGGAAAGAGATGAGCAGGCAAGAGAACAGAGAGAACTAGCAGGCGCCAGACCAGCCTTGCACAGCACAGCAGCCTGCTCACTTTCCATGGTTGCCAGCTCTAATTTGGGTACAACTATGGACACCATCACTTGTTGGTTGAGTTGGGTTTCTGGTGATTGCCAGGTCATAGGGGAGTGGCCAATGAGCTGTGTGAGGCACAAGATGTGTCTCTGAACCTGGCTTTCATACCCTCTCCCCTCCCCAGGCAACTTGAACAAACCCTGTTACAAAGAGACCAACATCTACATTTAGGTTATCTGAGTCATTTCCTCAATTTGACAAAACTGTTCTCTGTTGTCCTGGCAGTTGAGTCTCCCTGGACCTCAACTACATCTACTATGAAATGAAAAGAATACTGTGAATCTTTAATTTTTTTAAAATTAAATGATACAATAATAAAAACTGTCTCATTAATTAAAAGAGGCTCAGCCTGGATCTGACTGAGTGAAACCATTCTTGTAGTCCTGTTTTCCCCTGGAAAATGTGTAAAATGGATCAGGAAACAGATTTCTGTGTGGTAGGAGCACACTTCCCTAACAGAGAATAGAAGAAAGTGTACTGTTTGAAAGAAAGGACACACTGGGCTGATGGGGAAATCCTCCACCATGCACTGCAAATGTGGGTGATGGAGTAACCGAGGTGATAATGAGGAGGTGGGGGAAGATGGTGATGGTGATGTAAACAGGGTAGGACTCTGGTGCCAGAGAATCAGGGGATCTGATGACATTGAAAATACTGCTATTGTAGCAGGGGAAAGCATCACTCTTGAATCCTATGTATAATGTGAAGACAGTAAATGTACCAAATGTGTTGTCACAAAAGTTTCTCTGGACCTGGACACTTTACAGGAGAGCTACAGTCTGCCTGAAGTGTCTTGTTTGAAACATTTGTCAAAAAAGCTGCAATACAATAAGAATTCAGAATTGGTAATTCTGCATGAATTCGTGATATACTTCTGGTATCATTTGTCCAGTGGGCAGCAGTGCTCACTTTGAGACTTGGGCTGGGAATGTTTAGAAGTTCTCCAGTGCAAAGGCCATTCACCCATGACATTCACATAGTGTTTTTTTTTTTTTTTAAATACAAGGGATTGCACCCAGGGGCACTTAACCACTGAACAATATCCCCATGACTTTTTATGTTTTATTTAGAGAAAGGGTCTCATGAAATTGCTTAGGGCCTCTTTAATTTGCTGAGGTTGTCTTTGAACTTGCAATACTCCTGTCTCATCCTCCGGATCTGCTGAGATTACAGGCACATGCCACTGCCCTCCATGAGGCCCTTCTTCTGAACTTAGGATATTGCCAGCACAAAGCCATCAAGCTCAGAGCTTAGACAAGAATGCAGACAAACAAGCTGGTGAAGAGATGAACAACTGTGCATCTACTACTCCTCCCTTCTCTAGCTGCATGAACACAGGATAAAAGGGGGTCTTGCCTAGTCCAGGCCCATGTGGGCAGCCTAAGGGCAGAGCACATGGAAGTACCTCCCCACCATGGACTGGCTTCACATTTACCTCCTACCCCTTGTTTTTACCACAGGTCTGAATATCTCTCAAAGCAATCTGAGGAACTTTTTGATATTTCCCTTCAAACAAAGATCCCAAGGGGGATCCTTCCCATTCTCCTGAGCACTCAGTGTCACTCATGAAATTATATGTTTGAGGTTCACTGCTATGAGACTAGTAGTGTCTGGTCAAAACCAACTGCATCAAGGTCCTGTCAAAACTGAATATTACAAACCAAGAGATGATAAATAAAATGATAAATGAGGTTTACCTGAAAGCAAAGGCAGATTATACCAAGGTACATAATAGGTTTGCAAATCAAGAGATTGTTTCAGTTAGAAACCAAACAAATGTTCTGTAAAGGTAAAGGCAGACTATTTTTTAAATCTATAATTCTTTTAAAATTTTATTTTATATATGATTTTTTAAAAAAGAAATCAAAAGATGAAGGAACTTGTTTTGAACAACCCTTGATTGATCTATGCATTAACCAAGTTGTTTTGGATGAATTTGGATTGGTTATGAGATCTCTCCATACATAAAGTTATACATACTTGTTTGTTAGGGTGATGCCATAGGGGGAATTATCATTAAGCCATACATATTTAAGAAAACATGATCAGCAGGAGTCTCAGGAATAGAATCTGTCACAATCAGTTGTCTTATGAGCACATTTCCCCCCCAAAATGTTTATTATCCAGACATTCAATTGAGGGTCTTTGTCTTTAAAGAAAGTGTAACCTGTCAAATTATGACTTCTTACTCTCACACAGTCTTTTCTCTGTCTTTACCAGAGTACAGTCATTTTTATTTTTACAGGATTCAGAAGGAAACAATTGGCCCTCAAAAGAGGTAGGACAGGTGTTGACCCCAGGGGGCAATATACAGCCATTTCCAGAGGAAAAAGTGTTCATGTCAGCAGGGTTGTGTGCAGGACCACAGGAAGCATAGCTTAGTCTGCCCAGCTGTGGTAGATTCTAGAATATTTTTTTCACCATATAAGGAACTATGTCCTAATACATCTAATTAGTCAACACACATTTTTCTCCAACTTTTATTTCCCAGGACATTCTTTGTGTATTTGTGTGTGAATGAGGGTGTGAGTGTATACACATGCTCATGCACATATGCATTGTTTTGAAAGAGGGGGACTTCAACTCATGATGTGTGGGGATTCCAGAAATCATTGGTAAAGTGAGTTTGAGGATGCATCAGTTAGAGGCATAGATATTTATTTAGGAAAGCAAAAAATAAACATTCAAAGGAAAATATGTGCCATATGGAGAGTAACAGATGCTTTGGAGGTTCTCAACC